TTCTGTCCATGCTTGCGCTACTTGAAAATTTGCGTGGTATTTTTTCAATTACATAATCCCGCCCGACTATGGTAGAACAGCCCTAGGGAGTGACTAGGGATAATACAAACAATTAATTGTCGGTCACCTTTCAAAACTGAGCTCGAACGTCACTTTTCTAGAAGTATGCCTTCATTGAGCCCTTCTTAATCGGTTAGGAGGGCTATCTAACAGATAAAAGGTTGCTTTGACGGTCCTTCAATGTCGGATTTTCCCGGAAGAGCTTTTGCAATCCTGGGACGAAAGTGATTTGCTTGTGGGTTTGGTGGCAACTGTAGAAGCTTGAGACAACATTCGAAAACCGCGAGCAACTTTTGAATCATTATTTCTATGAATAAAGTAAGTAGGATTAATCTCTGAAAGTGGATGTCAAGATGTAATCGACCACAGCAGCAAGTCTGAGGATCGAATTTTCCTAAGCTTTTAATTATATATGCCACAAGTACGATATCATGAGTGAACAGTCGTCCTCTTTCATGTAAAAAAAACATACTAATTTATTTATCATTTACCAATTGTTGTCTGTTTGCCCGTAACTGTTTACAGTATTGCAGTACTACAATTGTAAAAATAGCTAAATGAAATAAATGAAATAAAATACCGCACCAAGACGAACCGGTAAGTTTGCCCCAAGTGGCGAATCTGGCACCACTTAACGACTACACAGTGCAATTTGCTCAGGCTTACAGCTGGTGGTGACTAGCGCAGAAACGGCGCTCTTATCTTCAGTTGCTCTATCACATGAGAGTCTAATTTTACGGGAACAAGAGCGAAATCGCACCACTCACACCATGGCAAATTCTCCACACACGCAAATAAGAGAGGACAGCTGTTACAGAAATTAGATTGGTAAATATTGATCTTTTCTGAGGTGGTATTCCTCGATATGAATAGTCCCAAGCCGTTTGAAGGGATGGTGATGCAGTTTAGCTTGACTGGTGAACCATTTCTCGGCAGTAAGGAGAGGCAGGGAGTCTAATGCACAGCATGACGCAAGAAGACTATTTCATCTAGGTCACCACCCGTCATAGCAATTCCCTAATACTCGCAATCCCTTTCAGCTCTCCTCTTTCTTTTCGCTCTATCGTTTCTCAGCCTGTTTCTATTCCAGTGTGGCTACTATTCAGTATCGGCATTCCGAGATTGGTACAAATTTGCTCGGAAGACGTACTCGATGACATGCATTCTACGAAGCCAATTCGGGAATCTAAAAGGTTGGAACGAAAGTTCTGCACCACACTCTTTCTAAAATTTTCTTTGCTTCTGCAAAGTTCATTGGTAACGTTTGTGACTAAAAAATGGTAGAGCATTCTCGAGGCTTTGCATCTCTACGAGGTGTTATAAATGCTGCAGTTAGTAGTTATCAACAAGAAAATTCAAAAAAAAAAACCCGACCACTGTGTAATCCATACTCCGAGTCGTTGTCTAGTACAAATGTCTCCATAACTATGGATTCGTGTCAAAGACTGACCACTATCTGCAACAGGGTCAACCCTATGTTGCTACAAGTAGCAACGGGGGGTCGTATTTTGATGAGTTTGTAGAGGGGGGTCGTACTTGCTTCGGTTGTAAGAAGTTGCATGTGATGAGTGGGGAGCGGCGCGGGAGAAAATTTGCCGTTTCAGCGCGCGTATATACCCCCCTATATACCCCCCGCTCGACGGCATTTTTGGAGGAAAAAGTGGGCGGGGTTTTGATGGAAGATGGAGATGGTGGAGGTAGGGAAAAGGGGGTCGTATCAAATCCACCTTGGGGGAGGGGGTCGTAAAAATTTTTCGAAAAGTAGCAACGATAGGACCGACCCTGCGCAACTTCAGTAGGCATGCTTCAGCCGCTACAGCGTGTTTCACCTTTACCAGCGCTTTCGATCTTTTGATATTTTTATAAGAAGCCAGCAGCGTCCCACACACTCCATTACAGGTAGGGCTCTTACGGAAGCTCCACTACAAATTCTTCGTTATGGGCACCATTGTGTAGGTAGAGGTCTAGGCTGCGGAACTCCAGAAGCTGGCCGAGGCAGCTCGTCAGGAGCCCTCGTACCGCGACAATATTCATTTCTTTCATGACATTGCGAATCACCATGATCCGAAATGAGCCCGGTAAGAAATTCTGGAGCTGCGGCAAGATTTCTTACCTCTCTTAGCGTATTCCCCTGGTCGAGCTATAAGTGACTGCGAAAGTGAGGTCGCCTCCTTCTCGACCCGCACTCCGCTGGGTTTTGGCAAAGGAGCATCAAGAAATTTTCTGAGCGTTGAAGACAAGTGGTGGACACTCATGGTAGATATATGACCGGTCAGGAGTTGTAAACAAAAAAGATGAAATTAGAATCAAACTTTCTTTCCAACCTAATATCTAGAGCACCTTCAACATACTATCCGCGATTAGTTGGTAGATTTGTAGTTCACTCGAGAATAAAAGAAGAGAGCACAGTAAAGAAGCAACAGAAATTGATGAAATCACTAAAATGAGGAAGCTCGTTTTTACTATGGTGCTCTTACGATGATACACTTAGAAGGGACCGGAGAAAAGACGAGAGAGCGTAGAATACAAGCGAGACGCAGACACCTCACCAAACAGAATGTTGCATCAGCAGCGGAAGCACTCCGCCGGCAAAACTACAAAGCCATATCACCCTCGTGGCGCACTTTCACAGCCTCACTGGGATCGCAGGAGACAACACTTATGGGGGAAATGGGTATATCAACCTTCAGGGGTGGACTTATGTTCAAAAGGGCCACCCTATTGGTGCACAGGTAACTTTGATGCGGGCATTTCTTCACCCTTAGAGACCCGATAAATGCGACGCAATTTCCAGGAGTCGCTCAAGTGGTTGAATTATCAAATCAGCTACGAGGAAAATGTGGAAAGCGTCAGGTTCCGAACTGCAAAATCGCTATGCAGCACAACATTGGTATGTTAACCCTTAGATATTAAATTTTAACACACCGAAAAGCTGTAAGATCTACAGATGTCTTGCGATTTGATATGATCGTAGAGAGTTGAAAGTGGAGTTCATGATGAAAGGGCGCCCATCAGAAGGCAATTAGAAGTGTTTAGTATGTAGGAATTAAAGCAACAATCCAGGAACGAATTCGCGGGTAA